CACTGGCTCCCCAGGCCACTGTGAACATTACCCCATTATCCACTCAGCTGTCCTGGCTCTTGTCTACATGCCCCCCATTGTCTACACTGTCTTCTCAGGCCACTGTGAACATTACCTCCATTATCCGCTCAGCTCTCCTGGCTATTGTCTATATGCCCCCACCATTGTCTACACTGGCTCCTCTGGGCCACAACAACACTGTCCCCCATTGTCTATACCAGCTACTTAGGTCACAGTCCACACTGCTCCCCATGTTGTCTGCTCTGGCTCCCCTGGCCACTGTCTACACTGACACCCCACAGTCTAGACTGGCTCTCTTGAGCACAATCTACACTGCCCCCACACATTACCTATACCTGCTTCCCTGAGAAACTGTCTACACTGATGTTCCCCACGTTGCTATACTGGCTCCCCAGGCCACTGTCAATACTGCTCCCCCCACACCTACACCAACTCCCTTCTCCATATTCTACACTGCCGTACCGTTATCTACACTGGCTTCCCCTGGGCCACAGGCAGCACTGCCCCCATTGTGTACACCAGCTACTTAAGCTCCCCTGGCCACTGTCTGGAAACCCTGGTGGCACAGTGGTTAAGAGCTATGGCTGCTAATGAAGAGGTCAGCAGTTCAAATCCACCAGGCACTCCTTGGAAACTGTGGGGCAGTTCTACTCTGTCCTGTAGGATCGCTATGAGTCGGAATCGACTTGATGGCAATGGGTTTGGTTTCATTTTGGCCACTGTCTACATTGACATTCTGCATTTTCAACACTGGTTCTCTTGGGCACTGACTATACTGTCCCCCAAAATTGCCTACACTGGCTGTCTTGGAGAGCTGTCTATACTGGACATCCCACATTGTCTGTACCAGTTCCTCTGAGCCACAGTGGATGGTTGTCATTGACTCCACTTGGTACTGGCTATACCGACCTTTCCTACATAGTCTACACTGGTTCCCCGGGGCACTGTCTGCCTTATCCCCCCAGTGTGGTCTACACTCCCCTCTGCCCCAGTTTTGTCTACATTGATTCGTCTAGGGCCTAACTACCCTCTCCGCACACTGCCACACAAGATTCTCTGAGTTCTGTCTTCTTAGCCCCCCAACACTGTCTGCTATGGTTCTCCTACAGAGCATCACCTGGACTGGCTCCCCTAGACATCACCAACATGGATACGCCCAGTATTGTCTACATGGACACGCACAGGAACCCTCTAGACCAGCACTGTCCCATGGGAATAGGCTGCAAGCTACATATGTGATTTTAAATTTTCTAGTAGCAACCCCATTAAAAAATAAATTAAAAAAAGAAAGAGATGCAGTTAATTTCAATAATATATTTTATTTAACCCAGCATATCCAAAATAGTATCCTTTCAATGTGAAATCGTTCTTTATACTTATTATTGAGATCATTTACATTCATTTTTGCATAGTAAGTCTTCAGAATCTTCTGTGTATTTCCAACCAGCCACACTGTAAGTGCTCAGTTGTCACATGTGGCCAGTGGCCACCATATTGGACAGCCCAGATCTAGACTAAGCTCCCATACTGCCTACACTGGCTCATCCAAATACTGTCTGCGCACACTTATATACATACACACAGCCTGGGTTAATTTCACCAGTTCTCTTGGACACATTCTACATTGATGTTGCCCCCCACCCAACATTTTCAACACTGGCTCTCTTGGGGAACTGACTATTCTACCCAACATCATCGACCCAGCATTCCCAACACACTGTCTACACGGAGTCCATCAATGATGTCTACACAGGCTCTTCCGGGCCCTGTCCCTACTGTCCCACCTGTCTTTGGCTATACTGGTCGTGCCCCCCCAAGCAATTGCTGCATGGATTCCCTCAGGCACTATGTTCACTGGACCCCCTTCAACATTGTCACTGGGCCTGAGGGAAAAGGACCCATCCACCCCCCTAAAAAACAAAAACCGTGATCTCACTGGCCTCCCCCCTGGGGACTTTGAAAAGTCTTCCTTGTCCATCATGTGTGGGATGGATAAGCAGCAGGCAGAAGCAAGGTCACCCAGGCCTCTTTCCTGCAGGACTTGTCAGAGCCTTGAATGTGCTCCTGGGTGTTGGGAATGCCCAAGAGGCCTTTTCTCCCAGGACAGCAAGGCACACCAGGAAAACAGTAGAGAAAGGCAGGTCTTTTGAGAAGCCTCTCTGTGCCCCTGCTGACCCCCCCACTCTGCAGAGGACTCCCAGGTTCTGCTCTCTGAGGGAGCCCCATTGCCCCAGATATCTAACAGGCATCCTCATCTCTGGGCAGTTCCCCAAACCCACTGAGGCCTTTCCTTGATGTGACATTAGTGCTACAGACTGTAGGCCCTCTGAGGGCTCCCCATCTCTGAGCTTGTGTGTCCACTTCCCTCAGACCCCCCTGAGGTCTCCATCTCCGGCTATGATGACAACTGGTACCTCGGCCTTAATAATGCCACCCTGAGCTGTGATGCACGGAGCAACCCAGAACCCATAGACTATATCTGGAACACGTGAGTCCTGGGTGGACCTGGACTCCTGGGTCTGAGGGAAGAGGGGCTGGGGGCCTGGACTCCTGGGTCTAAGGGAGGAGGGGCTGGGGACTCAGACTCCTGGGTCTGAGGGAGGAGGAGGCTGGGGACTCAGACTCCTGTGTCTGAGGGAGGAGGGGGCTGGGGACTCAGACTCCTGGGTCTGAGGGAGGAGGGACCAGGGACTCGAACTCCTGGGTCTGAGGGAAGAGGAGGCTGGGGCCTGGACTCCTGGGTCTGAGGGAGGAGGAGCTGGGGGCCTGGACTCCTGGGTCTGAGGCAGGAGGGGATGCAGGAGAGTGAAAAGAGAGCGAGGTTGATTTCAGGCCTCTAGTAAAATTTCCGTCTTGCGTTTGCAGACTTTACGAGGCGGTTTAGCCCAGGCTCCTCCGCATACCTGCTCTTTGCTGAGTGCTTGCTCTGCCCTGAGTGCTTAGTGCCCTCATCTGTGTGATCCCATACACCTTGCACAGTCAGCACTATCGCCATACCTGGGCTACAGATCAGGAAGACAGCCAGGCCCACATGCTGTCGATCCTCACCATTCACAATATTCCGTACTTGCAGATTCACCTGTTGTTTTTGTTAAGTGCCGTCGAGCCCATTCCGACTCGTAGCAACCCCATGTGACAGAGCAAAACTGCCCCATAGGGTTTTCTAGACCATAATCTTTATGGGAGCAGATCACCAGGTCTTTCTCCTGAGGAGCAGCTGGGTGGGTTCCAACTGCCAACCTTTCAGTTAACAGCCAAGCACTTAACCATTGTGCCACCAAAAGAAAAAAACAAACCATGGCCGTTGAGTGGATTCCAACTCATAGAGACCCTATAGGACAGCACAGAACTGCCCCAGAGGGTTTCCGAGGCTGTGATCTTTCCGGAAGCAGACTGCCACATCTTTCTCCTGCAGAGCCACTGTGGGTTTCCCAGCCCCTGACCTTTCGGTTAGCAGCCAAGCGCTTAACCACTGTGCCGCTAGGACTCTTCAAATTCACCTACTTGCCAAAAATTTTTTGTAACCCCAAAATCAGTACTGGAAAACGGCACCAATTTTGCACAACAGTGAGAAATTTGAGTCACCTGATGCTCTGCCTTCGTTTCCACTCACCTATTGCATTTTTGTGCTTTTTGATAGTGATTTGGCTGTTTAAAATGTCCCCAAGCGCTGATAGTGATTTGGCTGTTTAAAATGTCCCCAAGCGCAGTGCTGAAGTACTGTGGGGTGCTTCTAAGCACAGGAATGCTGCGATGTGCCTTATGGAGAAAATGCACGTGTTAGATAAGCTTTGTTCGGCACAAGTTACGGTGCTGGCTGAGAGCTGAATGTCAATGACTCGACAATGCCTGCTAAATATGGTGCCTTTAAACAGAAACACACATAGAACAAGGTTCAAAACCCATTGCCATGGAGTCGATTCCTAGTGACCCCATAGGACAGAGGAGAACTGCTCCATAGGGTTTCCAAGGAGCGGCTGGTGGATTCGAACTGCCAACCTTTTGGTTAGCAGCTGAGCTCTTAACCACTGCGCCACCAGGAGGCAGTCATTGAAGTGTTTGCTGAGTGATAAATGTGTCAACTCCGGGGCAAGACAGCCTGTATCTGGGCCCTCGCTCTACTGCTTTATTAATTATGTCACCATGAGCAAGTCACATACTCTGTGGCTCAGTTTCCTCACCTGTGAAATGGGAGTAACTGTATCAACCATTTTGTATTGATAAAACAAAAAAACGCATTGCCATCCAGTCAGTTCCGACAAATGGCGACCACATGCGTTACAGAGTAGAACTGAGCAGAGAAGGGCCAGCCTCTGACTGCAATTCTAACAGGGTCCCCTGGCTGCTGAGTAGGGGACAGAGTTGGGGAGGGGGCTGAGGATGGAAGCAGAGAGCCTAGTGAGGAGGCGACTGCAGTGGTCCAGGAGGTAGAGGGATCAGACCAGGGTGGTGGCCGTGGGTGCACTGAGGATGGTTGGATTCTAGACAGATTTTGAAGATGGAGTCAGCAGGATTTGACGATGGCTTGGACATGGGCAGGAGTCTCTGGGTGGCACAAATGGTTAAGCACTCAAATACTGACCGAAAGGTTGGCAGTTGGAACCCACCCAGAGGCACCTCAGGAGAAAGGCCTGGCAATCTGCTTCTGAAAGTTCACAGCTGTGAAAACCTATGGAGCAGTTCTACTCTGACACACATGGATGGGGTCACTATGAATCAGAATCCACTTGACAGCAACCGTGGGCATGAGAAAGAGGAATCCAGGTTTGCCCTCAACTTACATAATAGAAGCCGTAAGGGTTTCTGAGTTCCTGGCGCATAGTGAGTGCTCAATCACCTGTCACTCTAGGCCTCCAGGAGAGGCTACCTCCTCACCTGTCTGTCTCTCCCAGGACCGTGGGCTCCCTGCCTCCCTCTGCTGTGGCCCAGGGCCACCAACTCCTGATCCGTACTGTGGATGAGTCAATCAACACAACTTTTGTCTGCAAAGTCTCCAGCGCCATAGGGATGGGACAGGCGGAGCTGGCTGTCCTGGTCAGAGGTGAAGAGCTCCCCCAAGTAGGAAGAACAGGGGGACCAAAGTAGAAGACGGCTACAGGATTCCCTTTGAGGGAGGGGTTTGGAGGTGGTCCCTGGCTAAGAGGATCCCCCAGCCACATGAATGCTCTCTGACCCACATCCTCCCCCTGATTCCGTCACGAAAGGGCCAGCAGGGTCAACTTTACTCTCCTGTTTAACTCAAAATCTGTACCATTGGCCCCTGGACACACACATCCCCTAACCCAGGCTAGGGTAATTGTGGGATGCTTCCTCTCCAGGGATTCAGAAAGGCCTTTCCAACTTATTAGGCAGAACTCTATCAACTGCAATTGACAGACGCATAACTCAAAGTAGTCCAAGTCAGAAAGGGACTTTATTAAAAAAGGCACCTTCAGGTATGGTTAGATCCAGGTGCTCCAACCATGAAACCCAGGAACTTTTCTTCATGTCTCTTGTCTCTTCTTTTCTCCATGCTGGCTTTATTCTCAGAGGGACTTTCACCCTTGGGGAGGCAAGATGGCCCTCAACAACTACAGGTGCACATTCCACCAGCTTAGCTTCCCCAGGGAAAGAACACATTACTTTCAGTAGCACTAGCCAAAGTCCCACGGCTGACTCTCATTGGCCCAACTTAGGTCACAGCCCACCCTTCCAAGGAGAATGGAATGCTCTGATTGGCCAGAACCGAGCTAAAGCCCCATCCTAGGAACTAGAGGGTGGGCCAAGTCTGCCTAAACTGTGTAAACTAAGGGGGGCAGAATGGTAGCTCCCTAAAGGAAATATGGAGTGCCCTTACGAGAATAAAAAAAAAAAAACCCAAAAAGTCTTCTTACTTAAATTCCTGCTTCCTTCTTCTCTTCCAGACAGACCTCCTGAGGAGCAGTCACACCCTGGCATAAAGTCTTTGATCATCATCCTGGTTGTGGTATCTGTAATCCTGCTGTTGGTCGGGCTCTATTTCCTGGTGTTCAGAAGGAAGCGTGAGTCCCCTCCTCCTTGGCACATCCCCTGCCTGTCTGCCACGTATTAGCATCACCACAGCTGCCATAAACCAGTTGCCGCCTAGTCAGCTCCAACTCATGGCAATCCCCAGTGTGTCAGGGTAGAAAGTATGTGCTCCACAGCATTTTCAATGGCTGATTGTTTGGAAGCAGATCACCAGGCTTTTCTTCTGAAGTACCTCTGCGTGGACTCCAACCACCAACCTTTCGGTTAACAGCCAAGCATGTTAACTGTTTGCACCACCCAGGGACTTCACAGCTGCCCTAATTGCTAATTGGTGCCTTAGTTTCCTGGCACTTCTATAACACAAAGATCACAAGGGGGTGGCTTTAAAGAACAGGAATTTATTCTCTTACAGTTCTGGAGGCTGGAAGTCTAAATTAGGGTGTCAGCCGTGTTGATTACTTCCTTGTCAGTAGCTCCGGGTGTTCCTTGGCTCCTTGCCTTGTAGAAAATTCTCACGTGGCATCTGTCTTCTTCTCTGTGTGTGTCCGTGTCTGATCTGCTCTTTTTGTAACTCATTAACATAACAAAGAAAACCTTATTTCCAAACAGGATCATATTTATAGGTATGTTATTGGTGTTAGTTGCCATTCAGTTGATTCTGACTCATGGCAACCCCATGTGTGCAGAGTAGAACTGCTCCACAGAGTTTTCTTGGCTGTAATATTTATGGAAGCCAATCCATTGCCATCAAGTCAATTCTGACTCATAGCGACCCTATAGGACAGAGTAGAACTGCCGCATAGGTTTTCCAAGGCTGTAATCCTTTTATGGAAGCAGACTGCCACATCTTTCTCCCGAGGAGAGGCTGATAGGTTTGACCTGCCAACCTTTTGATTAGCAGTCAAGAGCTTAACCACTCTCCTGCACCGGCTCCTTTTTACAAGCATAAACCACCCCCCACCCAAAAAAAAAAAACACCACCAAACCCGTTGCCATCGAGTCGATTCCAACTCATAGCACCCCTATAGGACAGGGTAGAACTGTGCCACAGGGTTTCCAAGGAGCGGCCGGCCGGTGGATTCGAACTGCTGACCTTTTGGTTAACAGCTGAGCTGTTAACCACTGAGCCATCAGGGCTCCTTTTACAGGTATAAGGCCCAGGACTTCAACACATATTTGAGGGGACACAATTCAGTCCATAACACTTGGGCACTTACTGTGTGCCCGACTCTATGCTAAGCTCTCCACGGGGCAGCCTCTCACTGAACCCTCACCCCAATACCATGAGGTCTTCCCCAGTTTACAGATAAGGACATTATGACCAGGGAGTCTTGTTCACTGGGTTCATTGATTCCTTTTACCAGTATTTACACAGCGGAAGCAGATGATGTGGGGCCTCAGAGGCCAAGGTATAAGAACTTTGGCTTTGAATCTGAGTGACAGGGACGCCCCAGCCCGACGGATGGAGGGTGAAGTAACAACCTCTCAAGCTTTACTCCATCTGCCTTGCTCGGGAGTGACTCCCTAGCTGCTCTCGGGAAGAAGGAGGTGACAGGAATTGGCACCCTAGTCCTCAGCTCTTAAAGGGCCTGGTGCTTTGTCACTGGTAATATCCCTCCTAGCCAGCAGTCCAGGCTGCTCGTTCCTTAGCTGGCATCACAAGGGTGTGGGGGGTGAGGGTAAAGGAGCCCCGAGATGCTCTTGGAAAAGTTTGGTTCGAATTCCACAAAAAAGAGACACTAAAAGCCAGGTTGATTGAGCTAAAGGCTTTTAATAAGGAGGAAAAAAAAAAAAAGAGCCCGGATGGCGCAATGGTTAACCACTTGGCTGCTAACTGAAAGCTCAGCGGTTCGAACCCACCAGCCGCTCCATGGGAGAAAGATGTGACAGTCTGCTTCCATAAAGATTACAGCCTTGGAAACCCTATGGGGCAGTTCTACACTGTCTTATAGGGTCACTATGAGTCAGAATCTACTCAACAGCAACACGTTTGGGCTTTTAATAAGGAGAAACGTATGGACAGCACGGGATCCCACGGTGAAGCCACCAGCAGTGCTGACAATTACCTGGGTTATAATATTGGCACACACCGGGGGCCTTTGCTCTAACACTTACGTACTCAAAGAGTGGGTGGATCGCAAAGCGGGAAAGGATGTGATGGGGGTACCTCAGGAGAAAGCATGGGGAAAGTGAAGTCAGGAAACCACTAGGGAAATGATCCTAGAGCGTTTACTTCACTAAGTGATGATTGGATTTGCACTTCAAGGCAGTTCATCCAAAACCAAAACCCGTTGCCGTCAAGTCGATTCCAGCTCACAGTGACCCTATAGGACAGAGTAGAACTGCCCCATAGGGTTTCCAAGGCTGTAGTCCTTACGGAAACAGAAGCCACATCTTTCTCCCACAACCAGCGCTCCGATAGCTGTTAATTCCTGAGGAGAGAAGAGAGGGGAGTCTGGTTAACGTCCCTGTCTAACTGTGGGATGGGGTTACTGTCTGATCAGTCACTGTTGCTCAATCCCAGAGTCCTTTGTGGGCAGCACCTATTTTGGACATGCTTCAATCCCATGCTTACCTCAAGAGCTTTGCCCCAGCAGTCTCCTGCCTGAAGCACCCTCCTCCATGGCCCCTCCTGGCCAAGCCCCTCAGCTAATTCTCTAATCAGAAGAGCTACGTTTCACTGAGGGCTTACTACATACCAGGCAGGTTATGTGCACAACCTCCTCGAATACTCACAATCCCCCCTGCAAGGCGGGTCCTCCTGTGAGCCCATTTTAGAGATGAAGAAACGTTAGCTCTGAGAGGTGAAGTGACCTGCCAAAGGCCCACCCTGCCAAAGACCCACACAGCTGTAAAGTGGCTGAGTCAGGGCCGCCAGTCTGAGGACGGCAAAGCTTTTTCCCTCAACCACTAAACAAAACTGCCTCCTCATAGCCCAGCTAGATGCCTCCTCCTCCAGGAAGCCCTCCTTGATCCCCCAGGATGAGAAAAGCACCCTCTCTGGACTCCACCATCCCAGCCTTGCCCACTCTGGACATCACTATGTGGGGACAGGTCTGTCTCCCCAACTGGACAGTGAGTGAGCCCTGTAAGGGCAGGTCCCCTCTGTCTCCTCAAAACCACCCGGCACAGGGCCAGGCACAGAGGAGGCAGTCAGCGAAGTGCTTGCTGAGTGATAAATGTGTCAACTCCAGGGCAAGACGGCCTGTATCTGGGCCCTCACTCTACTGCTTTATTAATTATGTCACCATGAGCAAATCACATACTCTGTGGCTCAGTTTCCTCACCTGTGAAATGGGAGTAACTGTACCTGATAAAGGAAAAGGCCCCTGGGTGGCACAAGCAGTTTGTGCTTGATTACTAACTTAAAGGTTGATGGTTCAAATCCACCTAGCAGTGCTGTGGAAGAAAAGCCTGGCAATCTGCTTCCATAAAGATCACAGCCAACAAAACTCTATGGAGCAGTTCTGTTCTGTAATACACGGGGTCGCCACAAGTTGGAACTGACTCAACGGTAACGTGTTTGGATTTGTGTGGTAGCTGATACCACAGGTAAAAGCACTTAGCACAGAATTTGGCACACTGTAAGCCACACACTTGGTATATGTTCTTGTTGTTATTGTGGTTGGGTGCCATCGAATTGGTTCCGACTCATAGTGACCCCATGCACAACAGAACGAAACGCTGCCCGGTCCTGCGCCGTCCTCACAATCATTGCTAGGTTTGAGCCCATTGTTGCAGCCGCTGTCAGTCCATCCCATTGAGGGTCTTCCTCTTTTTTCCTGACCCTCTACTTCACCAAGCATGATGTCCTTCTCCAGGGACTGGTCCCTCCTGATACCATGTCCAAAGTAGGTGAGATGAAGTCTCGCCATCCTTGCGTCTAAGGAGCATGCTGGCTGTACTTCTTCCAAGACAGATTTATTCATTTTTCTGGCAGTCCGTGGTGTATTCAATATTCTTCGCCAACACCATAATTCAAAGGCATCAATTCTTCTTCGGTCTTCCTTATTCATTGTCCTATTTTTGAATGTATATGAGGCGATTGAAAACACCATGGCTTGGGTCAGGTGCCCCTTAGTCCTCAAGGTGACTTCTTGGCTTTTTTAACACTTTAAAGAGGTGTCTTGCAGCAGATTTGCCCAATGGTGTATGTAAGTTGTAATTATTACCGCTATTGTTATTTTCACCACGATCACCATTATTATTACTATCAATATAAGCTCCTTGAAAGCAGGGATTTTTGTCTGTTTTGTTCATAGCTATATCCCCAGCCTCAGGAACATGCCTGGTCACAAGCAGACATTTCATATTTGCTGAATAAGCAAATGATTGAATAAGCCACTGTTTGATGGTTGAGGAAACTGAGGCACAGAGAAGTTAAGTCACTTGTCCAAGGTCACACAGCTCCTAAACAGCACCCAACCACCATTGGGTTCTAGAGCCTCAGTAAACACTTGTTGAGTGAATAAATGAATGAGTGGATCCTTAAAGATCATACACCCAACCTGGTATTACAGATTCCAGATCAGTAAGGGCAGTGGCCCGTGTATGACGGTAGCAGAGCCAGGACTCAGAATTTTCGGGGCCCTGTTACCGAAAAGGTCCCTGGGTAGCACAAACAATCCACGCTCGACTGCTAACCTAAAGGTTGGCAGCTCAAACCACCCAGTGGCACCACAGAAGAAAGGCCTGGCGATCTGCTTCCATAAAGATTACCCCAAAAAACCAAATCAATTGCCATCAAGTCAATTCCAACTCCTGGCAACCCCATGTGTTTCAGAGTAGCACTGCACTCCATAGGCTTTTTAAGGCCGTGACCTTTCGGAAGCAGATCAGCAGGCCTTTCTCCCAAGGCACCTCTGGTTGGGTTCGAACCACCAACGTTTTGGCTAGTCACCAGGTGCCTAACCATTTGTGCCACCCAGGGACTCCATTCTGTAAAGATTAAAAAAAAAAAAAAGTCTTATAGGACAGGGTAGAACTGCCCCCATAGGGTTTCCAAGTGCTGTGATCTTTACAGAAGCAGACTGTTTACATCTTTCTCCTGTGGAGTGGCTGGTGGGTTCGAACCACCAACCTTTCGGTTAGCAGTTGAGTGCTTTAACTCCTGTGCCAACAGGGCTCCTCCATAAAGATTACGGCTAAGAAAACCCTATGGAGTAGTTCTGCTCTGTAGCACATGGGGTTGTCTTGAGTCGGAATCAAGTCAACAGGCACGGGTTTGGTTTGATTTGGACGCCTAAAAGCAAGTGCCCCCTGCCAGTGTTTCTGACATTGTCATTCATTCTCGACACTCCTGTTTCCCCAGGTCAGGATTCTTACAGCCCCTCTGCTAATAACACAAGTGCCCACGGGGTAAGTGCTTGGGATGGGGCCATGGGGGGAACTGAGGACGGTGTGGGCGGTCCGCACGAACCACGGACAATTGCTGGGGACTTTCCCGAGGAGGAGGAGTCCTGGTGGTGCAGAGGTTAAAGCGTTCAGCTGCTAACTGAAAAGTCAGCAGTTCAAATCCACCAGGCACTCTGCAGGAGAAAGATGTGGCAGTCTGCTTCCGTAAAGATCACAGCCTTGGAAACCCTATGGGGCAGTTCTACTCTGTCCTGTAGGGTCACTACAAGTCAGGTTTTTTTGGTTTCCCAAGGAAGGGACATATGTCTCTGGGCTACCTGCAGCTCTTAACCAGAACCCACCATAGCAGCAGGAACCGGGTTTGGATCTTCTTTATAAATGCCGCAGAATCCCTTGTACCCTTTGCCATTGAGTCGATTCCAACTCAAGATGACCCCATGTGTGCAGAGTAGAATTACTCCATAGGGTTTTCAAGGCTGTGACCTTTCCAAAGCAGATCACCAGGCCTCTCTTCCAAGGCATCTCTGATAGGTTTCGAACTACCAACCTTTTAGTGAGTAGTTGAGTGCTTAACCATTTGTACCACCCAGGGATTCCCAGAGTCCTCTGTGTTGTTGTTGTTGTTAGGTGCCGACTCATAGCGACCCTGTGTACAGCAGAACGAAACACTGCCTGATCCTGCGCCATCCTCACAATCGTTGTTATGCTTGAGCCCATTGTTGCGGCCCCTGTGTCAATCTCCTGTAGAGTTTGCTAAAACGCAGGCTCCTGGGCCCCAACCTCTGAGAGTCTGGGCTGGTGGGGATGTGATGGGGCCCGGGGATCAGCATTTCAGTAGGTGCTTCCCTGCCCCCACTGGAATGGCCGCACCTGAGAAGCATGCCCTGGCTTCAGGGAGAAGGGAGGGGACCAGCAACGGGAGCTTAGTGTCCCTCTGCCTACAGCTGTTTGCACTTTGGACTCTCAGTGGTTAGATTTTGTTTGATTTTGCTTGAAAAGGCCTCACAGCTAAAGTTTGAAAATCTCCCTTCCAGGATGTCTCCTATTCATCAGTGGCCCTTCAAGACAGCGCTCCCCAGGACCCACTGACAGAGGGCACAAGGTGACAGCATCAAGGCTGAATGGAGAGAGAGACTGGAGCTGGCAAGGACCTGGCCTCCCTGGCCGGACCCAGGACGCTCTCCAAAGAGACTGACCACCATCTCCATGCCAGTCCTTGAGAATGTCCACTCTGCCTTGCAACACATTGGCGGGGTACAAGTTCGGGGGTCCCCAAGACCATCCTCGGCGCAATAATTCTCTAGGAAGACTCACAGAACTCAGCAAAGCTGTTCTGCTCAGGGGTGCAGTTTACTGTAGCAAAACGATGCAGATTAAAACCAGCAGTGGGAAAAGGTGCACGGGACAGATCCCAGAAAAGTTCCAGGCTCGAGCTTCGTTGGTCTCTCCCTCTGGAGCCCTGTGGACAAGGCTTAATTCTCCCAGCAACCATGTTTGACACTAGGGAAGCTCCCCTGAGCCTTGGTGTCCAGGGTTTTTATTGGAGTCAGTCACATGGACATGGCTGATCACCTGCATAGGTGCTCTTTCTCTCCAGCCCCTCCAGTGGTCCAAGACCTCCACCACAAATCACACCGATAGCATGGACCACCCAGAATGGCCCAAAGCCCCCAGGCAAACAAAGACACTCCCACTGGGCAAAACATTCTAGGCTTAGAGAGCCTCTCCCAGGAGCCAAAGGGCCAAACCTTTTTTTGGACGAGGTTCATCTTTTATTGCACAGCGAGCCACCCAGAATGTTCTGGCTGCCAAAGAATTTTTCAAGAACTTGGACTCTGTCCTGGAGCTGTCAAATCTCTACTATTACTTGAATCTCTGGGGTTACAAGAAATAACAGCTGGTGCTTGTCGTTGAAAGCAACAGGGGCTGGAACCTTGGCACCCAGACAGCTGATTGGGGGCTTCCAAGGAGCAGGAACCGGTGGGCACAAACTTAGAATTTGGCACTGAGCTGAGTCATCACCAGGCACCATTCTGCCGAGGTTCAGGCCCCTGAAAAGTGTCTGCAGCCAGCGTGCTGGGATTGACAGGACCTCATGGAGCGGGGTGGGGGTCATTAACCCACCAAGGAAGGAGCCCTGGTGACGCAGTGGTTAAAGCACTCGGCTGCTAACGGAAAGGTCAGTGGTTCACACTCAGCAGCCACGGCACAGGAGAAAGATGTGAGTCTGCTTCCATGGATTCTTTATTCCAGCCTAGGAAACCCTATGGGGCAGTTCTACTCTGTCCTATAGGGTCACGATGAGTTGGAATCAACTTGATGGCAATGGTTTTTTGTTTTTTTTTTTATCCACCCAGAAAAGCAAGATGTTGTTACCAAGACTGGGGGGGGGGTAGGGGAGGGTGGGAGGGGAGGGGTGGAGGATGAGGGGAAGGGATACTGGGGGAGCAGGAACAGCACAGAGAAACACCAAAAATTAGTGTACCAGAATATATTTATTGTGAGTAGTTGGAATCAGGCTGCGTCAAAACCGAAAGTATTTGGAAAGGCGCTCTGCTCCCAAGAGGGGACCGTGAAAAGGGGGTTGTGTGGGTCATTGTTATGTTGCTTTCTCAGGAGATAGCCTCGGAACACGTGCAGGGTTCCAGGCACTTATAGAAACAGAGTCACTAAGGACGTGCCGTGCGCTTTCCAAGCAGACCCAGGCTTCCTGACCCTCAAAACTGGCTGCACAGGGATAATTCTGCAGAAGAGCCCAATGCCTAAGGCAAAACGGTCTCCACTAAGCTGCCTACTAGGCTATTGTTTGACATGAAGGTGACTATAGGAAAACAGTTCCTTAAAGGCTTAAGGTTCAGAAGGACACCTAAGGGCAGATGGCCTGGGTGGGTCACCCCAATTCCATGAACCCAGAAATCTGGATTCCAGGAGAATCAAAACAGCTTGTCACCTTGGACGGAGATGGATGCGGTCCACGACCCAGGAACAGAGTGGCTCAGATACAACTGATACGTTTACTTAGAAAAAGAAAAAGGAAAGGTTTATGGTCTCAACAAGAGGCTGTTGGAGAAAATACCTTAAGGGAGCTAAGACCTTGGTCCAGGGTGCTAAACAGGAAAAAGGCTTCAGCTGGCCTACAGGAGGAAACAAGAAGGGCGTAGGGTTTACTCCTAACAGGGATGGGGTAGTGTGGAACGGAGAAGGGAAGAGAGAGACAGGAGCCCGCAGGGTGGTAGGGGCGGAGGATGCAGGGGTGACAGGCCAGCGAGGCTCCACAGTGTCGGGGAGACACACCCAGGGACTTCTCAGGATATGGATGTCTCGTGCCCAGTGGGAGTTGTTTTGCTGCAACATCAAACCCTTGTCCATCGCCAACCTCCAATGCCTCTGAAACCAAACCCAAACCCTCTGCTGTCGAGTCGATTCCAAATCACCGTGACCCTATAGGACAGAGTAGAACTGCCCCATAGGATTTCTACGTCTGTAATGTTTACAGAAGTAGACTGTCACATCTTTCTTCCACAGAGCGGCTGGTAGGTTCCAACTACCGACCTTTTGGTTGGCAGCCAATCACTGTAGCCACTGCACTGCGAGGACTCCCGTAACGCCTTTCATTAAAGCCTATTTATTACACCTCAGCTGGTTGTGTGGGAGAGTGCTTTTGTGGGAACCAAGGAGGGCTGAGTTTTGTGTGAGCTGTCACAGGGTGGAACAGAACCAGTATGTGTGGAAGTGGGATCCTGACTCAAGAAGGCCAAGGATATGAGTCCCCAAAATTCTCAGACACAATCTGAAAATGGGGAGTCTTTTTTTTTATCTTTAATTTTTATGAGGCGAGACAGCCGCAACTCAAGGCAACCCCATGCACAACGGAACGAAACACTGCCCAGTCGTGACCCATCGCCATGATCGGTTGTGGATCAGACCATTGTGATCCATACAGTTTTCACTGGCTGATTTTCAGAAGTAGATCACCAGGCCTTTCTTTCTAGTCCATCTTAGTCTGGAAGCTCCACTGAAACCTGTTCAGCATCCTAGCAACACGCAAGCCTCCGCTGATAGACAGGTGGTGACTGTACATGAGGCGCATGGGCCAGGAATCACGTCCAGGTCTCCCACATGAAAGGTGGAATTCTAACACATAAACATCCCCAAATCAAAAGTTATCAGAAAATATCAGAGAAAAGTGTCTCTTTCACTCTGTAAGTTTCCTACTGCTGAGGTAACAGATCACCTCCAACAGTGGCTTAAAACAACAAAGATTTATTCTCTTACACAGTCACGTGCCAATTAACGTTGGTTCGGGCAACTTCTAACCGCGTATACGACTAACGCAGTCCCGTAAGCTTATAATAGAGTTCAGAAATCCCCATCAGAGAACAGGATGTATCAGATTTAAGCTTGTCGCACTCGACAATCACAATGATCGTCAAAAACAAAGAAAAAACTCTACAAGTTGTCAAAGGCTCAGCTCCACTGAAAGCTACAAAGCTAACAAAAATGCAAGAGGGACCTGTATCAGATAAGGAGAAATTGCTAATGACATGGGTTGAGTACCAAACACAAAAGCGAATCCTTCTTAGCATGTTGACGATCACTGCTAAGGCACAAACCTTGTTCAAGATGCTTAACGAAAAAGCAGCACCAGACTACAATACTGAGCTCAGGGCTAGCTCTGGGTGGTTCAAGGGCTTCAGACATTTTTTCCTACATCATGTGAAAATGAGCGGTGGTGAGTCTGTGAGTGCTGATGGGAAGGCAGCAGAAGAATTTGCTGAAAAATTAAATAAACTCATTGTAGAGGGAGGTTATTTATCCCAGCAAATTTTTAATGTGCAGGAATCCTCCTTATTCTGGAAACGAATGCCTGAAAGGACCTTCATCCATAACATGGTGTTCACACAGCGTCCAAATCACATAACATCCTATTTTACAGAATGTGTCGTGGACATTAAGTGACACATAATTGTAGTTATGGAGGTCAAAAGTCTAAAAGGAGTCTTAAAAAAAAAAAAAACCTGTTGCCATCCAGTCGATTCTGACTGGTAGTGATGTTATAGGAAAGAGTAGAACTGCCCCCATGGGGTTTCCAAGGCTGTAATCTTTGCAGAAGCAGACTGCCACATCTTTCTTCTGCAAATGAGACAGACAGTGCTAAAATTAAGGTGTCAACAGGGCTGGTTCCTTCTGGAGGCTCCAGGGGAGAGTCTTCCCTTGCCTCTTACAGCTTCTAGAAGCTGCCTAAATTCATTGGTTCCTGACCCCACATCCCGTTGCCTTTTCTCCCCCTGCTTCTGCCTTCTTCCTCCTTTGAACTTCTTGCCTGCCTCTTTCCCTGCTAAAGACCTTTGTGATTACATTTAGGGCCCACCCAGATAATCAGGATAACCTCCCCATCTCAAGATCCTTTATTTAATCACATCTGCAAATTCCCCTTTGCCATGTAAGGTAACATGTTCACAGGTGCCAGAGATTAGGACGTGGACATCTTTACCAGTACTCATGGTGACCCCATGTGTGTCAGAGCAGAACTGTGCTTCATAGCGTTTTCAGTGGCTGATTTTTCTGAAGTAGATCACCAGGCCTTTCTTCCGAGGCCCCTCTGGGTAGACTCGAACCACCAACCTTCCAGCTAGCATTAACTGTTTAACACAGGGACTTGTAAAGCCAGTTGCCATCTAGTCAGTTCTGACTCATGGTGACTTCATGTGTGTCAGAGTAGAACTGTGCTCCATAGGGTTTTCGATGGTATAATGTAGTACAGGCAGTCACCAGATTACAAACGAGTTCTGTTCCTAAATCTGTCTTTAAGTCGAATTTGTACGTAAGTCAGAATGATTAGGTACGATTCATATCTAATGTCAGTCAAATGTTTGTCTTAGTTCATAGTATATAGTGTACCTTTCTATGCATAAAAAGCATTAAACACTTCCAGATACACTAAAACATCTTTAACAGAATAAGACAGTAATAATAATAATCATGTTCAGATGCACCGCAAAGTGGCATCCATTTGTTATTAAAAACCATCGTATGTACCTCGAATTTTTAATATAATAGGCTTTACGGGGGTTCGTAACTACAGGTTGTATGTAAACTGAGCGTTCGTAACCTAGGGACTACCCGTAGTAACAATGTCAGAAGTCCTCTAACTTCAGGAGGACTGAAGAGAGTCGAGATCAGCCCAAAGCTGATCCCTCTGAGGCGGAGGTCAGACATACCTCCACTCTCCAACTGTTTCACCAGTTCTGACACCAGCCGTCCCTCCCACGGCACTCTCTACTTCTCTGCTGGGTTTAATAATCCATTGCAATGGTCACACAGAACTCACAGACCATATTCATTATTTTGTGGTTTTTTAGGGAAATAACAGGCTACAACTCAGGATCAAGATCATCTTGGAAGTAACAGGAACAACTCAGGATACAGGATACAGTTTTTCAATCAGGATAGCTTCCAACCAGTATGGCTCTCAGCTCCTTCTCGGCTGTGCCAGCAGACAGGCCATGCTTCTCAGCTATTCTGGCCTGACATCTGCTGCCAGCCCTCACTCAGGCCTGTGTTACAGCTTTTTGGGCTCTGCTGTCAAGTGCCCAGAGGCACCCCACTCCTCCAGCAAGCCTCCTGCCCAAAGGCACTCAGCTCTTGCTCCGTGGGTCAGCGAGCCTGCTGCAGCCATCTGGTGCTATCCAGCATTACAGCTCTTTCTCTCCTGGGTCTAGGAGGTTCTCAGCACAGGGACCCCAGGTCCAGAGGATGTGCTCCAGTCTGGGTTCTTTTTCTTGATGGTAGTGAGGTGCCTCTCAACCTCTGTGGGATTAGCCCTTTTATAAGCCTCCTCCTCGCACTAAGAACACAAACGGACCAATCCCCTCAGTAGGCCACAGGCACCTTATTTGCATAGTAAAGTGTTCAATCTCTGCAAGGGTTTTACATACCTTATTTGCATGGTAAACTCGTCCGATCTCTTTGCAAGACTGTGGCCTAGCAAATCATCTTGGCAGAACTACAAACCCAGGGCCAGAAAGGCCATATACAAAGAGAAAACTGCTGCCCTGCAAATGGCTGATTTTTCAGAAGTAGATCATTAGGCCTTCCTTCGGAGGCACCTCTGTGTACTCAAACCTCCAGCCTCTGAGTTAGCAGCTGAGTGTGTTAACTATTTGCACCA